CCAGGCCTCCAGGACAGGAGGTGCTTGGAGCGTGGGAGGTGCTTGGGGGGTTATTAAAGCAAGTGAGCATTGGTGGCTGCTTTGCACGAGGGTGGTATGAAGGAAGAAGCAAGAAAGAAATGCAAGTTAAAGGTGCCTTCCTGTTCTTGGGAGGATTATTAGTATCAACCAGTTGGGCTGTGTTAATTATCCCATTCTGAAAACCGAGGTGCAGTGGGTTGTTACCATCTGGTGACTTTTTTTTTTTTTTTTTTTTTTTTTTTGCAACTTCACTACAAACCAGTGGCAGCCAGTTGCTGGAAAACCAGTTGCTTTCCACTGTCATGCAAGGTTTGGATGAAATCTTTTTGGCAGACTAAGGCACTGTGAGCACAACATGTGTGTGTATGCAGAAGAATGTTTTGGCTGATCTGCAGCATTAAGAAAGATAGCTTGAAAGACAGCTGTATAGTTACAGGGCCTTGAAAGGTTTGTGAGTATAGACTAAGGTGTCTTTCCACCAATAAAAATGAAAAATTAAAGTATTAGTTTTAAATATTACTTTATTAATAATAGTTTTCTTCTGCAATAGATAAGTTGTAGTCTCTCTGGAGCAGTCTGAGTTCAATTCTGTGTCCTTGGCTTTTACTACAGGCTTGTCCTGGGTTCTTGGCAATGCTGAAGAGTTGCCCTTTGATGATGATATGTTTGATGTTTACACAATTGCCTTTGGGATCCGAAACGTAACCAGGATTGATTTGGTAAGTTGCTGTAGTGTATCCTGACAGGGGGTCCGTATGATTCACATTTTTTATTCTAGTGGAGGAAGCAAAGGAGGAATTCCTTTGGATAAAGGAACATCTTTGCCTACTCCTGAAACATTTAAACTAAGTGGCATGTAGTGTGCAACTTGTTTGTATGAAGAATGCAATTAAATGCCCCACCTTTGTCATAAAAAGTTAGATTTATACTAGTTGCGCCCAATCCTTCCAGCTTGGCAAGCCACACAATCTCTTCCTAAGGCAAAACGGGCTGAGTGCTTCAGTCATTCCCTACTTTCTCCTGACCTGTGATGTTACTGGATCCACACACACACGGTGCAGTCAGTCTGCATGTCTCAAACCCTCCCAAAGTGCCTGCTGTTTATCCCACCCGCAGTGGGTCCAACGCTTCCTGCCCCATTCTGTTTCCCTGCCTGAGCCAGCAGAGCTCCCAGAGCAGAGAGTGGGGAAGCAGCTGGCATTGAACTAAATCATGCAGCTCACTGCTGCTCAGTGTCTTTACACTGGCTGGTAGTAGGGTTTCCTATGAAGAATTAGTGTGATTTTAATTAGGGTAGGTAGTAGTCATTGTTCTAAACAGTATCTGTCCTTCAAGAATGACTAGCTGTCTTGTGGCTGTAGATAGGTTAGACCACCTGCCCAGCTAGACTAGTTGTCTGGTTTGGAGGAGTGTGTTACAACTTTGGCAATGCTCCTTCTGTGGAAGGTGCAGCGTTTGGATCCAAACCATCTTGAACTGTATGCCTTTGAACTTCTCTTAATGTGGATGGCTTTTCACCGTGCCTCGTCTGCACCCTTCCTGAGCACAGGCTCTTTGCCTTCCTGGATACAGCAGCCTGGTAGCACAGCTCCCTGGAGACCCGATACAAAACACATCCAAGCTTCCAATTCTTTAGCAGAGTTCCCATCACGTATGTGTACTGTTTATACTTGATCGCTTAGGAACACGACAGTTGAAGCCAAGCAGATGTACAACCTGCAGAGATGCTTGAATACAACTGTGCTGTGCTCTTGTATGAAAAACCGTACGGTTGTAAACAGAGTTTGGTCTTGGTGGTTCTTAGGTCTTCTATTTTGGATATAGGATGGAATTTTCAAAGTAGCTGATTTTCTTCTTCCCTCTCCTTCCTCACTGTTCTCACATATTGCTCATCCAAAACCCAATATAATTTCTTCTTTGATCCTTTGGGTGTGCCTCACAGTTGAGTAAAATCTTCTCTTTTGATTAAAAAAAAAGATCTATAATACCCTCTTTTTATTTTCAGCTTCTTGTAGCTGAGTCACCTTCTCCCTTTTGGGTTTGGTCTGTAATTACAAGAGCTCTGTTGGCACACATTTGGCAACTAAGAGTAGGGAAAAACAAGAAAAATTGCAAACCTGACATCATAGTTTCAACACAAAGCCGGGTATAAATCTATTTATGTGACAGCAAGAGTTTTTATGGTTTGGTTTTGTTGTTTGTTGTTGTTTTTTTCTTTACTTGTGTTTGGATGCTTCTCCACAAGTAAATATTGGAGATTGCCAATCAGGATTCTCTTCATTCCCGTCAGTTCATGACTGAGTTGCTGTCACACGGTGTGATAATAGACAGGTGCTGTTCTACATAAAGAGACTGATCACATCTGCTTTGTCTCAGGCACTTCAGGAGGCCTATCGTGTGCTGAAACCAGGAGGAAGATTTCTCTGCCTTGAATTTAGTCAAGTCAACAACCCTCTTCTTTCCAGGTAGGAACACGGTGACACTTTTTGCCCTATCACAAGGCTCTCTTATTTTTACTTAGCCAGAATAAGAGATGGAGATGCTTTTAGGCCACCTTATTGTGCACTTTTAAAATCAGGTACAGGTTCTGTAGGGTAGTGGTACAGAGATGACCTTGTGTTGAAGAGGATTGGTTTGAAACTTGTTTGTATTCATCTGTATTTGCTGTCTGTCTGTGCAGGCTCTACGATCTCTACAGTTTCCAGGTTATCCCCGTTCTGGGGGAGGTTATTGCTGGTGACTGGAAGTCTTACCAGTATCTCGTGGAGAGCATCCGACGTTTCCCCCCTCAGGTAAGACAGTCTTGTTCTGAATTCACTGACACACAAAACAGTCCCAGAATGATCTTGCAGGCAGCTGGCTTACAGGCCTTCAGCTGGTTATAATTACAGAACTATTATTTTTCAGGAGGAGTTGAAGGCAATGATAGAAGATGCGGGGTTTTTTAAAGTGGATTACCAGAATTTAAACTCGGGCATTGTTGCCATTCACTCAGGTTTCAAACTGTGAATTTACTGTGTAGCAAAACACGGGAAGTGTAATTTTCCTGAGGAACATGAAAGCTGTGGAATTTTAATGCTATCAAGATTGAAGAGGAGTTTTAAGAACTTGTGCAACAGATACTCACTCAGCGGTCCCAGAAGAACATCAGCGACCTTTTTCCCCCCAAGAAACCTGTGGATGAGGTGACTCCTGTGGTGTTTCTTACACTTGCATTTCCCTTCCAAGTGCAACATACAGGACACGGCCAAAACCAAGCAATCCTAACAAATGAAGCAGCTTCAGTTACCAGTGGGGTGGATACAGAAATAGACTTGACCGGTCTTCAAATAAGATGCCTCCTTTTTTTTTTCCCTGAGCTTCAAGGAGGGTCTCGTACCACTGAGAAGTAACTTGGATTTATTAGACTTTTATTAAGCTGTCATTATCTTTGTCATGTGGACTCTAAGGGATTTTTTCCCATGATTCTTAACTTCTTTGAAAGGCAAATGAAAGGCTTGTGAAATAAAACAGCTCTGCATCAACTTTTTTCACTTAAGTCAATATTTTAACCTTTGTAAGGTTTCCTTTCTATGAAAGGAGTATTTTTTTCTCAGGGAGAACAACTGCATTACTATATTCTGGGATGAAATGACGTGTTTTCACCTCCATATGACATCTTTTTCTGACAGTGCTAGCTGCAAAATATCTACCTAAAAATGTGCATTTCCTTTTGTTCTTTAAAACAAACTGTTGAAGAACAGATGCTTCTATAGCAGGATACAGGGATAGAGGGGGAAAAAAAAATCTAGAGAAAGTATAAATTTCTGTTCCAAAGGGAGAGCTGTGTAATGAACTACTATGAAAATTTCTCTCTTGTGAAAATCAGGAGATGAAAGGACTATTGCTTTTAGCTCACCAGTTTGAGTGAAGTCAGGAGAGCAGCACCATTTACCTAAACTCCAGAATTCGCACTGGATGGAGGTTGTGCATACTGAGAATATCAAGAACTGCAAAGCAGTCTCTTCTCTCAGGGAAACCATCTCCTGTTGCTGACTGATGAGTATTCACAGATTAGCTCAGGATTCAGATGCTGTGGATTTGGGGGGGAAATGGAGGTGGGGAAGTTCCCCCTTCATTCACAGTGGAATAAAGAGGGTAACACAAGCGCTAAGGCGGCAGGAAGGGTAGAGAAAACTCTTAGAGGATAAACTTGTTCCGACAGTTTTATTAGCAAATAAGCTGTCTTTTGAAAGAAAATAAATACAAGGAAGGTATTTTTACCTTTTTTATAGCCACAAAGAAAATACGAGCTGCTACGGCAAAATCCCTGACCATTGACAATGCAACAAAAGACCTGAAGATGAAGGTCTGTTTCCTCAGGAAGGCTGAAGGTGGGAGGCTGGCTGGAGTTGGTGTGCAGCCCTGTAACCGGCTGCACCTTTCAGTAACAGTCCCTGGCTCTAACCAGACTTGAAGAGGAGAATGGCGACTTGGCCGAGGTAGAAGTAGATGAAGTGCTTGGTCTCGTGAGTCACGTAGCTGCCAAAGTTCCTTCCCACGATGCAGTGCCAAGTGGGGTTGTATTTCTTGTCAAACTCCTGCAGAAGAGAGAAGTAGGAATTCAGCATTTTCGTGAGAATTGTACTAATATTGTCTAATAGGGTTTGGGGTTTTTTTGGCATGATATGTCACTTGTTAGCAAGTATGGCTTTTGGAAGAAGGCAATTAAGGAGCAGCATATGCTCTTAAGTGCAAGGATCATCTGCCACTTTATAACTCATCTGCTGCTTAGTCAGACCAGGAAAAAAAAAAAAAAAGGTGCTTCCAGGTTGAGCAGGAATAAACTTAAAACATGTTTGGGGAGGTAACTTTTCCCAAAAAGTCCTACCATGATCTCAAACTGTAACTTTTTAAAAGCTTCTAAAATCTCTACAGATCAAGCCGTTATTTTGACTTCATTAACCACTTTGCACAAGGATGCTGAAAGGACTCTAGAAGGAAAATTCTCCACCACAACCTCGATAGCAGGTCACGAAGACCGTGTTCTTCCTCAGTACTGCAGTCAGGAGCCTGCTTTGACTTTCAGATAAACTCGCGTGTGCCAGTCGTCTCTGAGCGGAGCCCTGCAGTGGGTGGTTACAGACTGCAGGATCTCCCAGCTGTCAGCTGGAGAGACTTGTCTCAGAGCCTGCAAGAGTTCGTGTTCCGCTCAGCCAAACCCTTCAAATGCTCTCCCAGTAGGAGTCAGAGAGAGAAATCCGACAAGCTGGAAGCTATGAACCATCTGTTCTGCCTTAACACGAACAGTTTGTCTTACATGTGGTGGGGGGGTTGGAAAAACCCACACAAAACCACTTCTCAATACGAGGTCAGCAACCCACCAGTTCTCAGATAGGCTCCACAGAGCCCCTGTGTTTTGCAGCAGCCCATCAGTGACGGGGACAGTCAGCTGCCACTCTCTGCTCACCTGGACAATGGCACAGTGGCAGGAAAGCCTTAAGCAGAAGGTACCGCAAGAGAAAAGCGGAACAAGCTGGAAAAGTCCATGAAAAGGGTGGGGAAAGGAACATAAGGACATCAGCCTACAGAAAAAGCCTGACTTGATTATCTAGTGTCTCTAGAACTTGTTTCTCTAGAGCTACTTGCCCAGCAGCATTCTCTCTACTTCGTTTTTCATGTGCATAGAGATTTCACGAGGATGCTACAAGGAAACTTTTACCTTCTTTATGTGAGCAGCAATGTCCTTCTCGATGTTGTACTTCTCCAGGGCCTGAGTCGCGCACTCCACGGAGTCCTGCTGCATCTCCTCTGACATGTCCGCATTCTTGATCACTGCCTTTCGGTCACTCATGATTGCCTGCATTGAGTGAAGAAGAGAATTCGAGGTTGGGGGAGCAGCCACCTGCCCGGTGCTCGCCCAGGTACCGCCGTTCACGCTGTGCCCACACCCGGGGCTGGGCAGCGCTTGGCCGGTGGGGCTACGGGCACGGCCAGAGTGACCTCGCCGCCTGCACCGGGGATACAGGCACAGCAGCCGGTGCCAGTCCCCTAGTAAGCCGCGCCTCCCATCCCCGCCCCTCCGTTCCTCTCACCGTTGGTCGGGCGCTGCGGGACCGGTCCGGTGCGGAGCGGAGCGGCGGGCTGCTGACTGCGCGCAGCGGCCGCCTCCGAGCGTCCCTCTAACCCCGCCCTCTCCGCGCCGCCCGCCAGCCATTGGTCCTCGCCGCCGCCCCCCCGAGCGCTGATTGGCCGCGACTCGGCGCTGTAGTAGGCTTTTACTCGTGCATTTTCTTTCAGACCGGCATGCCCCGCGCCTGCGTCCGTTCCCATAGCGACCGGCGGCGTGGGCGCTGCCCCCGGCGCGGCGGAGCGAGGCCTCTGGGGCGACCCCGGGACCCCGGTGCGGGGTGGGTACCGGAGAGCACGGCCCGCACGTCCGGCAGAGCTCACGCTGGTGGGGACGGTCATGTGGATTTCATCTGTGCATGGAAAGCCTACAGTCCTGGTCCCCCTGCGCCTTGCCTCTGGCATCATCTAATTAGTGATTCTGGGCAAAAACACTTGTTCCATAACGCTCAGTCTCTGATGTGTTTTAATGTGTCCACCAGTTTGTGTAAAACACTTTTCCATAGTTGATACGTGGCCACCAAAAGGCATTCTATTACTCACCCCAGCCCAGATCACAGACACTGGATTTAACCCGGTGATCTCTGCAACAGGCCATTGCTTCTCTTTGAACTGGGACAGCCCTTTCGGTAAGATGCCCTTTACCGAGAGGAAAGACCACGCAACTCAGAGGAAGGAGTGTCATAACTTATAAATGGCACTTGATCATCTTTCCTATTCATGTCTGGTTTCAATTTGCCTTTATCTTTCACACTAAGTGACTTCTGGCAGAAATCTTTTACCCTTGTTTGTCATCAAGTCAGATCTAAACTTTGTCCATCAGACTTCTTACATCTCACTTATGCATCTTTTGCAGACCTCGCCACTTTTGTAACTCTGCCTTTTTTTGTTTGTTTGTTTGTTTCATGAAGCAAGATGTTTTGGGAGATCCCCAGTGCTCTGTTTTGTTAGTTTCACTCCCCCTTGGGCACTTTCTGCCGATATTCTTGTCAGCAGCTAGAAAATTGCTATAGAGTCTTCCATAGCTGGCAAACTGTTAATAACAGGACTCTGAACCATGTCTATAGCAAACAGCACAGGATGACTTAAAAGAAAGGTTTTCAAATACTGGTTGGTGGGACTGCCATTTCCTTGTAGAAATAAAAAACTCAAGAGCAGTCATCCACCTCACTTGAAATGCAAATATTTTTCATGTTTGTAGACTAGTTACCTGCTCAGTGTCACTCATAGCTAAAGTAGCTACTGCAAGCAACCTTTTGCTTTTGCAAGCTCAGAGGCAACCTCAGAAGAATATACTGTCCCCAAAACATTAAAACTGGGTAATGTAGTACTTTTGTCAAGCATGTCAAGAATAACTTCTGATTTTAGCTCCCGGGTTTTAGCATTCCAACTAGAAAAGATGCAATTCACAGCTTTGCTTTCTGTCTTGCTGTGTCAGGAGCATGTGTTAGGGACAACTCTGAAAATTACGAAATTAAGGGAATTGATCTGGTTTAATGCAGCACATGAAAGCGCGTAAGAGACCTTGTGTGCCAGAAACTTGAAGAAGCTTTGAATAGTCTCGGGACCACAGTAAGCAATTAATTTACAGAACTGTGTGCAGTATCTGCAGCACCAGCAATGGTTCTTTGAGTACAAGACAGCTTTATGCTGACAGAACTGAACCATTTAACAATCTTCCTAGTGCTTACAATGAAGTTCAGAAACACCCATGAATCTCTGAGGAGGTGGTTGTGTTTGGTAGCTGCGGGCAAATTTCTGTGCATTTATTAAGAAATGGTTAGCTGAAGGAACAGATGTGATGACGACTGCAGGAAATGTCAGTGTGGGTGAGATACACGTCGTTAGCAAGAAACATTAAAGCTTGAGATACATGGCTTTAAAGAGAAACATTAGAGCCTTGCTTGTTAATCTAGAATGTAAAAGTATAATTTCCCTCAGGACAGAGCTGCAGGGGAAGGCAGAACAAATACACCCAGGAGTTGATAGCTGGAGTAGAGGAGGTGCTGGAGAAAGTTGGGTAATGGGAAGGCATATCATGAGATTCCCTTGCAGATGGAGGTAAGATCGTAAGCACTTTTCAGCTGAGGCTTTTTTTTTGCTCTGTGTTGAATACTGACTGTATCACTATATCTAACACCAAATAGAGATTTTTCCTGGGGCTGCTGGTTACTATCAAAACATAAAATAATCATTATTAGCAATAAAAAACAATTTCCATTTTATTTTTTCCATAAATCTGAAATCTCCACCTTGAAATTTTCTTTGTAAACGTGGAATCTATATGCTAGGGCTTCTAATCCAATTTTATGTTACAGATCTACGTTGCAGTGGAAAAACCTTAGCAGGTAATCTCCATGGTCTCCAGGGGAACCAGATATATTTACGTCATCTCAGAATCTGGCCTCTTTTTGTTGTTTTTCATTTTAACCAAACATTTATTTTTGCTGTATCTATTCACCACTGAGAAAAGATGAGTTATTTCACAAATATACATTATGTTTGCCACGCTGCAGTTACAAGGAATTTACAGGTAGCGATTTTATTATGAGTCCTTAACTGTATCTATTCACTTGACTGCGTTTATAAAATGCATTGTGACAGAACACTGTGAAGATCTGACCCAGATCTGGACCTGCTTGTGCAGCGAGGCCCTGTGGTGACAGCAGATGAAGGGCGTCTCGCCCCCACCTCGAGGTGCAGCCGGGTCCCGGTGGGGCTTCGCGCCTTCCCGTGGGGCACAGCACCCACCACATGAGACACGCCGAGGGCAGGCTCAGGCACTAACGTATTCTGCCCACGGGCAGCTCATCTGGCCTTCGCTCAGGTTTTTGTTTTGATGGTTGCAGGTGTCTGAGTCAGGGCTGTAATTCCCTTATTAGCGGTGAAGTTGCAACAAACCCCTTCATTAAGGAAATGTGTGTTTTCCAATTTTAATGCAGTTTGGGCTGCGGGGAACAAGTATCAGGCAGCCTGTTCTCTCACTGGAGTGTGGGGGTAAGGGAGCAGCAGCGAACTGGCAGTTTTAAGCTTAGCCTGTGCTGCACTGGGAATGTGGGATCATCTTTGTCCAAATTATTGGTTTGGTTGTTGCATTTAAATAGTTACTTGATGATATATTGGGTTGGAAGCTCCTAGGGCCATGCAGTTCACTCTCAGCTTTCTCTTCCTTTTTCAATGCAAATAACGTTGTCCCCATTCTCTCTGATGGTCAAAGGAGGTCAAAATGGATAGAACAAATGGGGATTTCTCAAAATGGGAATTCTCTGCTAACATGCTTGTTGTATGGCGTGACTTGAGGTCCTTTGTTGTCTTGATTTATATATGCTTTATAAATTACTTTTAGGCTAAGCTTGTGTATTTGTAAAACTTGCAGCATTTGCAGGGTCTGAATCTTGACAAGCCTGAGACTAGAGCACTGAAATAGTGTTACAGCTTTGCAGAGAATTGGATTAGTGGAGTTAAATAGAGACTTTAATTCAACACTTTTGAAAGAATTCAAGTATCGTAATAATTATGTGTTTTATTCGTATGCATATATGTGTATATTATGGAAGCTTAAACAATGAAGTGCACAAATAAGAGTGGGACAAGTGTTTCCTCTAACTTCCTGCCAGAGAAATATGAGAAATAAATCTGTTCCAGAAAAAAAAATCAGTTCAAAGCATATCAAACATGCAACCTTTGAGGGTAGTGAGTGAAATTGGATCCTACCCAGCAGCTGTGATTTTTTTTTTATACCAGCAAAGGCAGCTGTAGTCCTTTCCACTCAGCCTAGTTTTTCCATTAAATACGTGGCATATAATGAATGCCCTGAGAGGGAGCTTGTCAAAGCAACTTTTACACATGGTATTAAGAGCACAGCACTAACTGCTGAACCTAGTACCAGTACTATTCACAAACTCTTTAGTACTTTTTACAGTGTTTTTCAAATTATGATACTTCTAATATGCTTGGTGGACTTTTAAAATGTTATTAAAAAAAAAAAATGTGTAATTAATCTCTAATTTATATTACCTGTTGTCTGCAGGGTTATGGAAGATGCAGTTCACAGCAGAAATAGTTATTATGGCCATGCTCAGGACTTACTCTGTGTTTATTACGCAGATGTACAGAGAGACAGGATGGGAGTAATAGCTTTTATCTGCAAAAAGGTACAGGATATGTACCATGTAAGCTGGATGACATCAAGTTATGATCTCACGAGGTGAGTTTCTGCCCTCAGGGGAAGTGTGTGCCTGCGTTGGCACTGCGGGAGCCTACTCGCCTTCTCTCAGGCTCTCGAGAGCTGTAAAAGCAGACTCAGAACTGGTAATTAGTAGTATCCTATTACAGTAACTTCAGGGGTCTTTTCTAGCACTTCTGAAGAAAATTCCACTGTGGCTCAGGATGTAACATGCCCTTCTATGCACTAGAAAAAAAAAAGCATGAAAATCAGAATAAATAATTTTGGATTCTTAAATCTATATGCGGACAGGGCAACATCCAGGAAGAAAAGTTACTGCTGCTTCTAATAATGCTGTTGCTAGCTTCCTCCTAACAATGTGTGACTGCAACACTGAAGAGTACTGAGGTACTTATATTTCTAAAACCTGTTCCAACAACAACAAAAAAAATAACAGTTATAGTGAGTATTTAGTTTACTGTGCCAACAGAACAAAAATGCCAAGTTCACAAGTAATTGCATTCTTTATTTACAACAGGCTTAGCCACGCAGGATATTTTAAATAACACTGCATTGCTTTCTTTGAAACAGAAAAAAATTGTTTAATCCAGGAAGTATCACTAGTATCCCTGGAGATACATGTCTGGTGTACAGAAATATTTATGGCAAAGATTTTTAATTTTAGAGCAGCTATTTCTGTGTATGAAAATTTCTTTCGCAAATTATGTACAACTCCTAGTATGTATGTTTATTCTTACAAATTTACAAAGTGGGAAACAGAAAGCAACCCATACAGACACGGAGCACAGAGATAAAATGGAAATATTCAATAGAATCATAATACTTGAGTGACTGATCTTCTCAAAGTGCCTTTTCTTCCATAATGAAAATCTGAGTTCTGTCTGTACATCAGAGAGATATTCAGCAATGTTATGGACTCTTCCACACCAGATTTTGTTACTTCTGACAGGCTCAGAGCCAGAGTTGAGCTAAAGGTAAGAAACAGGTAACTCCAGCCTTCCAACCTCTCTTGTTTTCCTGACAAAACAGTTGACGAAAAATAGAGTGTTCCTTTTTTTTTTTTTTTTAATTATAATCTTTTAATGTTCTCTTTAAGGCCTTTAAGCCATTCAGTGTCTTAAAGAACATCAAATTCCCTTTGCTAAATAAAGGTATTAAAGTGATACATCATGCTACCTCCCAGCTTCATAAACACTGACATTCCAGTAGCACTACTAAACATTTTACGCCTTCTTTTCTCTGTAAATTGTCTTGCAAGTGCTCTTCTTTTGACCAAAATACCTGCCACGATACGCGACTGCACAAATCTTAAGTTTTCCCACATAAAATACAGAAACTGTGTTTGGGTTCTGGGCTTTCGCTAAGAGCCTTTCAGAAAAGTCTCTCGTTCTTCTAGCTTTGGTAAAGGGATGTTACCTGGTAGAAAAGAAAAAGAAAGCTGTGTGAGTCCAGCTGTAAGGTACCTTCTGGGCAGTACAGCTCGGTTTCTCCAGTTTATTCTAAGTACATACAGGCAGCTTAAATTTCCTGAGCACTTTAGGAACACAAGCCTGTCTCACTTCCTGTAAATAATCACTCAACGTGTGCAGTAACTTCAGCATAAGGCCACCTTCTGTACTGCTCTGGACCAGTAGATTGCAGACTGGTTTTTACAGATGGCTACAGTTAGTCATTTTAGTACTTCCTTAACACCAGCTAATATTTCTGAAAGCAAACGCAGCTGTCGCAGGTTATATTCCTCAGGTTAATTCAAGTAAAATTAAGAGGTTTTGATAAGCAAGACAATACCTGGCGGGGCTACAAAATATTCCTCTACTTTCTCTCTGGCATTTTTCAGCAGCTCGTTCGTGCAGTTGCCTTCTGTAACGTCGTCTTCCCTGAGATACAGACACCTGAAGAACACAGGTTATGAGCCTCTCTTTAAGCTACTCTGCGAACAGGAAACGCCAAGTGTGGTTCTCTCTAAACACGGTTTTGCTCTTAAGCAAGCGATGAGAGAAGATTTGGAACGTTTTGAAGCAATTAAAAGTGCTGCTGACAGATAACTGGGGAGCAGCGTGTGCAGATCACGACAAGTGAAGCCACAGGAAGGAGCTGGAGCACACCCTCGCTGTGCTTACACGTAAACACCAGGGACGTCAACGACATCTTCCTTCCATCGAAAACCCCAGTGAGACACTGCTGTGAGCAAAGGGGCCAAATGCCTAACCAGGGTTACAAAAGCCAACAGCTGGATGCATTAACAGAGCCTTTACCTGTCCTCCAGGACGGAATCCATGGGCTCCACGCCGTCGGTGTTGACTTGGTGGAGCAGATCAGCGAACTGGATGGCTTTCCGCAGCCGCTCCACGCCCTCTGCGTCGCGGAAGTCGACCAGGGCGAGCTGTTCCAAGTGATCCAGCACTTCCACCGTCACCGCCGGCTGCACGGACAGACGGACGGACGGACAGAGGGACAGACAGACGGGTCAAAGGCAACGGGAGCAAGTTCAACACAGCGATGCTTTGCCTTTTTTAACCAAAACCTGGCTACGTGGCAAAACCCCGAGTTCGCATCTGCTGGGACACGCTGATTTACTGCACTTTCTTGGAAAAACTGGCTTTAATCGCAGTCGCACTGCTCCCTCCTCCTTCTAACCCCCCCGCCTCGCAACGGGCACAGCGGGCCCGCTGCTCGCCCCGGTAACAGACCTACCTGCGGCGGCGGCTGCTGCTGCTGCTGGTCGTGCCGCCCCACCGACAGCGCGGCCCGGCCGGGAGGGACCGGCGGCAGGAGCAGCCCCCCCGACCGGAGGCACCGGGCCACGCTCAGCAGCCGCATCCCGCCCCACCGGCGGTGCCCGTCGCGTCGCGTCGCGTCACCTCCCCGCGCCGGAAGTGCGTCAGAGCGGCGGCGCCGCCGGCCCGGCTGGGTGAGAGGGCGGGCGGGGGCTCGGCCGCCGCCATGAACAGCGTGGGCGAGGCGTGCACCGAGCTGAAGCGTGAGTACGACCAGTGCTTCAACCGCTGGTTCGCTGAGAAGTTCCTCAAGGGCGAGAGCGCCGGGGATCCCTGCGGGCAGCTCTTCAAGCGGTACCAGCTCTGCGTGCAGGTGCGTGCGGCCATCGCCCTGCCCGGGACACCGGGCCCTGACCGGTCACTCTCCGCCCCAGCTGTTCTTCCACCGGGATTACAGGATCACAGAATGATATAGGGTTAGAAGGGACCTCTGGAGATCAGCTAGTCCAACCCCCTGCCAAAGCAGGTCCACCCAGAGCAGGTCGCACAGGAAGGTGTCCAGGCGGGTTTGGAATGTCTCCAGAGAAGGAGACTCCACCACTTCTCTGGGCAGCCTCTGCCAGGGCTCTGCCACCCTCAAAGTGAAGGAGTTCCTCCTCGTGTTTAGATGGAACTTCTTATCTTCAAGGTTACCCCCCTGGTAGTCCCTCTGCCCTGCTCTGGATCTTCTCTTGCCTTCCATTTCTGCCGGTGGGGACACAGAGTATTTTACAGGTGTCTCTTACTGTGTTTTTCTCGTTAAGGTAACCCATTAAGCCTGCTGGGTTAGAGGCTGGGCTGCGTTTCTGTGATAGGATCCGGATTGTCACTCTGCACAAATTCTCAGCATCTCTAATATTGAGGCTTTATCCAAATGAGTCTTAAGACTACTTTCTCTAGATCATGTTTTGTACCAAAGATTACGTCACAGCATTATAAAGACGTGTTGAGTTTTAATTTTTTTATTTTTCATCTTTTCAGAAAGCTATCAAGGAGAAGGACATACCCATTGAAGGGCTGGAGTTCATGGGCCCAAGCAAAGGAAAAACTGAAAACTCCTCTTGACCTCAACTGTACGGATGGAGTCACTAACCTGAGCCTTTGGACTAAGTGACATCACCAGGGATAAGACCTTTGTTAAGCTGCTTTCTAGGAAGTGAGGAATCTCCTCTGCTTGTAAAAACAGACAGACATACACACACAAAAAGACTGGATGATGTGGTAACTGCTACCTACTTTTCAGTGAATTTTGGTGGTGGTTCAGCATCTAACAGCGTGAAAAGCCGCTTGAACTAACTTCCTATTGAATGTACTCTATAATGGGAGAACGCTTAGTAGAGTGGGCTGAGATAGTAGTTGCTTTGTTACCAATTTCTCTTGCTTATTTATATAACACTTGAAAACGTTTAAAAAGAGTATGAGGAAGGTTGATTTACTTTGTCTTATCTCCATGCTGCTGAACTTTGGTGGAAGAAGCTTGTTTATGTGATCCCGAATGCTGAGGGGCTGAAGCGTTGTTTTGTATCAGCAACAGAGATGGTATAAAAGCACTCTATTGGACCTGTAGTAACTTATCTAAAATAAATATAACCAGGTTATATTTTGTTCAAGTAGATAACTGTCCAGCACTCCCTCACAAAGCTGCTCCTGAGCTGTGTGTACTTTACACTGAGGAAAGCAAATGGAAGTTATAACTTCTAAACTGCAGAAATGCTTGCAGTAACTAGAAAAAAGGTGTTTGGAAGAGATGTGAGGTATCTGGATCCATCCTGTCCAGGGGCCCTGCAAGCACGGTGGGAGGAGAGGAGATTTCCATTGATCCTTGGGGATGGGGAAAAGCTCTCCATTCTCATTACACCAACACAGGTGAAAGTGTGAAAAATACTGTGGCCTGGGGATGAAAGACAAGTCAGCTTCCTAAGTCCCCTTTCTAAGAGCACCAAAAATAGCATTTTGGGGACTGTCAAGTACATGGCTTGCTTTTTTATTAAGGAATAACACATAAACCCACTGTGCTTTTCTATGATCTTCATGTAGGAATAAACGTACTATGATTTTTGTCAGTTAGCTTTAAAACAACTGCACCCATCAGTGCCTCGTTCTGTGCTTTTAACACAGAAAAGCTTGTCTTGGCAGTCATTTTACTAATAAGTGGATGAAATAAATAGCATTGAAAGGTGGGGAAGGGTGTCCTGCAGCGCACACTCCTTTCGGCAGCGAGATGCCAAGTCAGCTGCTGCGTTTTAATTTTGGGAAAAACAGTATCAATGGCAGCAGTAACACAGTTCTTTCTTTGATACCATGCAAAAAAAAATAATGCAGAAGTTACAAAGGGCATTGGAAAATGGTTGACTTGCAGAGAAGAAAAACTTCAAAATTAACATTGTACTAGAACAGACTCAGGGCTTTAGAACTGGTTTTAACTATAGAAGGTAATTAAGCTCCTTTGGGTAAAGCAGCTTCTGAGTGACACAGTATACATTATACAGATGTATGCAATGACAGAAAAAGTTGTGTTTTCATTTGTAAGACTTTTAGGACAGACTTTGTACAACCAGACTGCAGCTTTATGAAAAGCAGAGTCGTATGTGCTGATATATTAGAAAATTTGAGAGCTGAACATTAACATCGTGAAGACACACAGAGCTTAATTAAACAGCTCTGCTGCCACTCCCTCTCCCAGGAGCCAAGAGAAAATTGCCTTCATGATTGTTAATAAATACTGCAATAGCTGATTACAGAGAATGTGCTTCAGTATATACTGAATTTTAATCTCTAGTATTAGCCTGATACCTGTTCATCTGGCTGGGGGTTTACAGTGATTAGTTAAACCAGACATGAATATGAAATTGCATGATGTCCCATTCTGAATGTGTTCCTGTCAGTGTTATCAGATGCAGGAGCAGGTATTCACATTTAGGCAGTCAAACTGCTTTGCTCTTGCCCTGTATCCTGTGGGAAACCTCAATGTTTTAAGGAAACACCGAACTAAAGAATTTCTAAGGTTTCAGATTAACAAAAAAGTCAGATCCTAAATCCAAGTTCAGAGTTGTTTATTTAAAGGACCTCTACACAAGCACAGACAGAGGCCGCACCATTCAGCTCCATCACAGAAGGAATGTAGAATTTCTTAAATGATGGTTCCCTAGACGATGGTTCCCACACAACATTCTGGTCCGAGACAGGAAGAGCCAAAGTTCTGGCTGTGGTCAGCATCTTAGTTTTCATCTTCATAACCAGTTGGGAGAGCATTAACATGGGGGTTGTGGAATAGAGTTTTGTTCCCGTCACCCCAGGGGAAAGGCTGTTGAAGAAACAAAGAAAATAAGCCAGTGGGAGCTGTGTGACCTATACAGCACAGGAAATCAACAGCAACACGGACTCAAACATCACACAGCTGGATGGGCCGATGAAGTCAGCAAGTTGGCATCTGTTCCTGGGCTGCAGGAAGCAAGAGCTGGACAATACTCTCCCTTAGCTGTGAGCCACCATCTCTAGACAACAAAATCTTGGCTCTTGCTTAAACATCAACTGTGCCACATCATGGGACCCCAGTTTTCTCCTCTGTTAGCTTTTAGATCTGTGTTAGTTAAAGGTAAGTACAGCAGCTCTAGGACTAAGACCCTTTTCAGCAATACAGCAGCAGGGTTACCTGGGGGCAGGAGGCCTGTGAATACCACGGGTGCTTCCTCTGATAAACTGTTTTACTGCCTCAGAAACAAAGCCACGAGTTAAGATCATGGCTACATGTGCAGCACCTCACGTGGTGGACAATAAAGCAAGAGATACTGTAGTAATCTCAGATGAAGATCCAGAGAAGGCCACGGAGATGCCTGGAGGGCTGGAGCCCCTCTGCTGTGAGGACAGGCCGAAAGAGTTGAGGGGGTTCAGCCTGGAGAAGAGACGGCTCTGGGGAGACCTTAGAGCCCCTTCCAGTCCCTGAAGGGGGCTACAGGAAATGGGGAGGGACTCTTGATCAAGAGTGTAGCAAAAGGACTAGGGGCAACTATTTTAAACTGAAAGAGAGGAGATTTAGATTAGGTCTCAGGAAGAAATGCTTTGCTGTGATGGTGGTGAGAGCCTGGCCCAGGTTGCCCAGAGAAGCTGTGGCTGCCCCATCCCTGGAGGGGTTCAAGGCCAGGCTGGAGGGGGCTTGGAGCAACCTGGTCTGGTGGGAGGTGTCCCTGCCCAGGGCAGGGGGGCTGGGACTGGGTGATATTTAAGGTCCCATCCAACCCAAACCATTCTATGACTTTATGAAGCTCTGTAATCACAAAAAAGAGAAGCCCTTTAACCAGAGCAGGTTGAACGTACCTTGGTCCTGATCCGGAGGTGAGCGTAAGGGACAAACTCGGGCCTCTCGTGCTCGTGCTGTGCTTTCAGGTAGCAGTTCAGCATGCACACACCGACCCCGGGCAGGGCCACCACGAAGGTCAGGAGCTTCCACAGCCGGGCTAGCGGGAAGCGTTACATGGATTAGAGCAATAACCGCCATCTCCATTAGCGCTACTGACCCGTTAAGCGCAATTAGTACATTAACGGCGGATTAACGTCCCCCACCGGAGCGCAAGGCTCCCTCCCCGTTTGTAACAGAGCGACGGGAGTGCTCCCCCCTTGGGAGCTCACGGCCCCCAGCCCAGGCTCCGCCGGCGGGCCCTGCCCAGCGCCCCGCGAAGGGCAGCGGCTGTTCAAGGGCAGGGGCGCCGCCGGCCCCGGCCGCGCCCGTTATCCCAACAACCCCGTTACCTCCGCCACCCTCGTGTGCCGCGGCCGACATGCTCCGCCCCGGCAAGGAGCGCGGGGCGGCGGCGCCGAGCAGCAGCCGGGAGACCCTTCCGAGCGCCGCCATCCCCTCCCTCAGCGTCCGCGGGCGCGACCCGGAACCGGAACCCAGGGCGGGCGGCGGAGGGACACGGCACCTGCGCGCTCCGTCCTTCGAGCATGCGCAGTCCGCGTCCGCGGCCGGACTGACCTTGAGCGGCGGCGGGATGAGACCGCCCGATGCGCACGCGCCGGCGTGAGGGGGGGCGGGAGGACCGTTGGTGACGTCACGTCGCTGACCGTCCTTAAAGGGGTGGGGCTGGGCGCCATTTCGGTGCTGAGGGGAGGGAGTCGGGGCGGAGGGAGGCGGTGCTATGAGTGGTGATGCCAGGCGTGAGGGGCACCTCGAGTGGGGCTGGGGCAGGCAGGAGGGGGTGAAGCCCCCTCCTCTGAGAGGGGAAAGGGAGAAGGGCCTGTGGTGCGCTGGTTGGTACCTTCTGGGTCTCAGAGGGCAGCACTGAGTGGGACCAGTGACCAGAGAGCTCTCCGGAGCAGAAGGAAACGTCTCAGAGGGTAGTACTGAGTGGGACCAGCGACCAGAGAGCTCTCCGGAGCAGAAGGAAATTTACCAACCTATGGCATTGAGAAAGGTGGGGAACAGAGAAGGGTGTCTCCCAGGACAGGTGCCCATGAGTGAGTTGCAGGGACTGTGTTCAGTGTAGGTGGCCTAGGAGACAGCCCCACTGCCCTCTGTAGCATTTCCTGGCAGTGAAGCGATTGCACAGCTGTATTCAAGTTTGTTTTCTGCGACACCAGAGGGCTGTTACATTTGTTAATCTGCCTTTTTCACATTTGGGACCAATCCCATCCCTGGGATATAAAAGCAGTTTCAATCATGGCAGTGTAAAAGATGTTTGTTGTTAATGAAATGCAATTTCATAACCACTGATGTGGTTTTAATTATGTGGATTCCTGGAATGACTCTGCTGAAATAATAACAGCACTTGAATAAAAACAAGATACCAAGAAAAACAATCATCATAATTAATTTATGAATATCTAGATCCTATTTTATTATTACTCTTTTTTGAAGCCTGATAGTTGGCTGTTTGACCTTTGGTAGAAGCCATGTAGATGGTGAATGCATTTTCAAATACTTTATGCGCCACAGCAGGAGGAGAAGGGCTCCCAGTGGAAGTAGAGACTGAATCAGAGAGGGAAAGCAGAGAAATGGGGCTTTTGGGAAGGGGTGGTGGTAAGGTCTGCTCTGTGAGCAGGTGATGGTGAAGGAATTGTATTTTCCTCCTAACGAGGTATGTTTCTCCACAGAAGGAGCAGGAGGAGGTATTTCTGCCATGTGAAGTAGGCATCTCTGAAAGATGAAGAGGAGCTGAAGGAAAGTGTAGGAGCTCTGACCTGGCTTGGGATGATGTTAATACACAGTGCTGCTCTGGCCAGGGGTACCACAAGCTCAAATTTGGCATCAGTCCCATGAAACTGATAGCTTTTCTGTTGGGAAGACCAAAGCATGTAGGGAGCTGCTGTTACAGCACAGTTGTTAGGTGGCAGGGAGCTGCGTTTGCTGCTGGGGAGTGTGTTTTCTTTTCCCTTTTTTACTTGGAGTGGGGCTTGTGTCCAAATTTACTGTGTGTCATAGAGGAATGGTACGATGGCTGGGATCTTGGAAGGCTGTTTATGTTCATGGTATCTTTTGTTTGCTTATTATTCTCTTTTTTTTTTTGGTCACAATTATGTCTTCCAGCAATTTGCTGTCATATTATTAAATAAATCATTTTAAGAACAGTCTTGCTTCTGTATGGAAGAGTTATTCCCCGATGGTGCTGTGTGTCCCTACAGAAGCGTCCTCCTGTTTTAATTGATGTGATGAATTTGCACAGTGATGAATTTGCACAGTGCAGGCCTGAAACCACTGCAGCTCACCATGTGCATGCACACCTGCTTTGCTGAGAGAGGTTGGGAAGAGTATATCATGAAGCTCTTGTCCATGTTGCAGGTAGACTTTGCCTTTCTCCACCTGCATCCTTTGGATTCAGGATTATAAGATATGTAACAACGCATTTTTAAAAAGGCATTTGCATGTGGCTTTCCTTGGGAACAGAAGATGCAAGAATTATTTTGTATAATATTTTAGTGATGAAACGGAGATTAAGTTCTGTATCTTGAAGCAAATTACAATGTTGTTTTTATAGCAGGAGCTATGTAAACAAAACCACTCTTGTAGCAAAAAGAACTGTAAGTAAGCAGCAGACACTAATGTTTACAAAAGAGACAAAACACAAAAAGGATCAGCAAAACAAGAAGCAAACTTCTGTCTAGGAGGAGGAAAGCTAGTCTCTAAAATAAAACGAATTTGTGAGCTGTGCTGCTGCAGTTGTCTCAAAAGACAACATGCAAGCCTTCAGCAGGAGGTGAGAGCAGTCAAGGTGTGCTTTTCCCTCATTCTTCGCTCCTCTGGCGGTGTTGAAAATGCTCTTCAGAGAAGAAAATGCTTACAGAGAGCAGTATGTAGTAGTGGCAACACTTAGCACAGCTGCTCCAGGTTAAAAGTGCCTTGTGAGCACTTCTTCCACCCATGGAGCTCCAAGGGGCTTGTGGAGAGCAGCTGAAAATGGGCTTCAGGTCTGTCCTGAACCTCGATAGGGTGGCAGTTGTGTTATAGTCAGATTTACGCTGATTTTTAAATGGGGCTTTCTTAGGTTTTGTCATCCCAACAGCTGTGGTGGGATCTCCATATGAGATGTGTCAGGAGTCCAATGGGTCTGATTCACCTCTTTTTTTTTTAAAATGTGGTGAAAATTGGGGGTGACTGCTGGAAGACAGAAAAGATTCTGTATGAAAGCCTTCTCATTGAGGTAAGACAGGGATTTGAAAAAACCTAGATTTTAAAAAAGTATGGTGAAGAATGTTTTTATATAGTTGTATGAAATACGTTTAACTGTGCGATCTGTAATGGTTATTATCGCTGTGATGATTGCGGTCATCCTGACAGCATGTGTTTCTTACAAAGGGGTGGGGAAAATATTGGTGAATGAAAAGTCAACTCTGCCACTGGCTCAGAAGCTGTCTGGATTACTGACGTGTGGCCTGGGAACCCCCCCTTGCACTCACTAGTGTGCACTATTACCTTGCAGAAGGGACTTAATGTTTTTCCAAACCTGACCTATTTGAGGGCCTGTGGCTTGATTTAGAAACCAGTGTATCACCTTTAAAAATTGAATGTTTTGAGTAAGTTTCAACATGGACATTTTTCCAAAAGATCCAGCATCCCGGGAACCTTATGAGTGCAGAAATGCTACAAAGTTAGCTCTGGGGAAAAAAAAAAATAAAAAGTGCTGGTAGGCACTGCTCGAGTGCAATTACTTTGAGAAAGCTGTTTTCATTGTGGTGGTGGGACAGGTGGAGGTCGGGCCAGAACTCCTGGGGTCTGACTTGGCTGCCTGGTAAACATCTCCGGTCAGGTGTGCAGCAGCGATGGCACAGCACCTATTTGAACATTTTGGATTGTATTGTTTTTTGGTTTAGCAAAATGTGAACGGCTGCAGCAAGCTGGCACTCAGTAGAGGTGGAGTTGACTCACTAGGCTGAGAGAGAATGTTTCGGTCAGGTGTGCAGCAGCGATGGCACAGCACCTATTTGAACCTCCAGTTGGGCATGCAGCAGCGATGGCACAGCACCTATTTGAACATTTTGGATCATATTGCTTTTCAGTTTAGCAAAATGTGAACGGCTGCAGCAAGCTGGCACTCAGTAGAGGTGGAGTTGACTCACTAGGCTGAGAGAGAATGTTTGTAGTGCAAAAGAAAAGAAGCATTCAGTAGAGATGGAGTTGACTCGCTGAGAAAGAATGTTTGTAGTGCAAAAGAAAAGAAGCACAGAAACTCTTGTGGAGGCAGGAGGCTTTAGCTTTCGGCTAATGGCCCTAAAAGTTAACTGAGTTTTGAGATAGGGAGGTTCCATTGTAATTTAGAATCAAAGGCTGCTTTCCAAAGACTTGTCTTTCACCTTTCTTTTTCTTATTTTTTCCTGGTTGCAGTGGTGGCCGGCGGGGAGGAGAGGACACGGATAACAGCATGAAGCCCCGATGAGATGTGTTTTCTACAAGCCTTCTGCAGCGTCCCGTGGGGCCAAGGCTCTCCGAGCAATGCCGGGCTGGCCCGCCTGGTGGCAAACTGCTTTCACTGGAGGCGCCTCTCCGTTTAGGAGGTTTGGGAAGAACAAATGCACTCACTGGGATTTCAGACTAATCTCATCTCTCTGCATTTTCAGGTTTTCAGGGAGCTGCTCATCCCTCTCGAATAGCAGTGTTTCCTCCCTCACATACTGTCTTAACGAACATAGAGTTTGTGCGGCGGAGATAGTGCCTGTGTCTCAAACTTCACAGAGTTTCGGGGGGGGTTCTTCATCTTCTCCCTGTAGTCCTGGAACTGCAGAAATCAATATTCTGCCATCTGTAAATCCTTTGTTCCCCTTTTCAGCAGGGCTTTATCAGCTTTGTAAGCGAAGGAGGGAGGGGGGAAGAGGGCGCTGAGAGTGCCATTGTCCCTTCTCTGGGGAATGATCTGGAAGTACTATGCAAATCTTCATTTGAAGACCCTGGGAACTGGGGGGAGGGCTTTAGCTGCGAGCTCAGTAGGAGGGGAGCTCTGCATCCCTGCTCACACACTCCTGCCTGGTGCAAGGAGCTGGAAGAGTTTTTTGAACTGGCAGAAGAGACGTTTTGAGCTTTGTGAACTTCTGCGAGGCTTTGTGCTCCTTATGTCTCCTGCTTTGTGCTTTTCCCTGCCTGCTGCTTCTAAATGTTTGCGTAAGAATTGGGTAGAGGAGAAATCTGAGAGCTGTGGTGAGCAGTGATGAAGTCGGACGGGTGCAGCACCCTCCTGCCACCCACCCTGGAGTCTCCCACCGAGCAGTGGTGCCACCCCGGTGGTGCTGGCATTAGCACAGAGCACGGACACAGTTTCAGTCAGCAAAAGATTCAGCTGGTCAGGAGAAGTGGAGTAAAATAGTTTGCAGTTCTCAAATTATCACGTTATAGCCAGGTCTTAAAAAACCTTCTCTTACAGGGGCAAGGACTCGGGGACTGGTACCTGCTTTATGAAACCCTGCAGTCTGTCCTGGCTCTGAGCTCCCTGTCACCTGTTTTGTATTAGGACAGGGTCACACTAACGGCCAATTTCCCGGAAGCTCCTTAGGCCTCATGGAAGAGGAAATATCCTGGCTGCATAGACACATGGGTGAGCAGGACAGCAGGGAAGGGAGAGCACAGACGCCTATCTGGCCATTTTTGTGTTCATAAACTACTAAAGGCAGTCACAGTCTTTTTGATTTTCTGACCTTCACTTTTATGGCATTGGTCCCATTGTTTGTTTTTCAAACTTTGAGGGGGTTTGTTTTCCAACAAACTGTAAAAACTACTTTTGAACAATGACAGGCCTGGAAAATGCAACGCTGTTGTCTCTGTCCCAGGCTGCTGAGAAGATGCAGCCTTTTAAAAAATCTTACCTTCTCTCAAAGCCATAGGAACACATGCCAAAAGACCCAATTCTCTGTTACCTCCCACATTATATCCAGAGAAACATAAAACACTAGTGTTTTGTTCTGCAAGTACTTTACTGCTTTGTAGAGGGAAAGTGCATCACAAGCATACTCTCATATGCACAATTGGGTCTAAATCTGCTCTCTTTTTTTTTTTTTTGTAACTCTAGAGTGACTCAGCTGACTTGGGTGAACATCCTCTGGAGCTGTGCTAGCTGGAAACCAGCCTGGACATGCCCTCCCGCTCCTGTAAGTGCTCCCATTTACCTGTGCATACTCCTGCTCTCCTGTAAGTGCTCCCAACTACCTGTGCACACTCACACATCCACACAGATGCTTGTTTGCATGCGGGCTGGTGTGTGAATGCACATTCTTCTCACCCCGCTCCTCACATATGCATGCAAACACACACGCATTCTCAAGTGCACACATCCATTCCCTTTTCTCTCCTATACATTTGCACACATACACAGACCTTTTTGAAAGCTCCTGTTTTCAGAAAGGTTTTATTTATAGGTCCTGCCTGGTTGTGAATGTGAAAGGGAGAAAGCCCCTCAGAGGGTTCCTTTCATGTGTAAATCAGCCTAGGCTGAGAGCATTGGGGTCACTGAGAGGAGGATTTCACTCTTAATTACTCAGAGAGAAAGCAGGCAGGGGACTTTCTCAAACTAATAGGGCTGTTCTCTGCTGGGGAAAGCAGCTTGAGACGCCCAAGTTTCTCTTGCATCAGACTTTGGGCTCTGATTCACAGGCCTCTTCTGCCAGTAGCAAGACCTGGTGTCTATGTGGCACTTGGAACAAACAGTTCAGCTTCTAAACTTGCTTACTTATTAAAGATGGTTGTGTTCATTCTGATAATTGGGTGTTCTTTGGAGACCAGTGGAAGAACTGACCTAGTTTGCTTTATTTTTATGCCACTTCTATTGAAAAAATTATGTTAGTCGGTGCTGTGTATATCTGTGGCTCCATCTGAGGGCCTCAGTGTTCCTCCAGACGCACCTGAAAGTTCTCATCTCTCTGCAAAGTAGAAAAATGTTATTGTCTAGAGATTAGCCCAGTCAGCAGGGCTCTGAACTTGGACTTAAAACCAGCACTGAATTCCCAGTTGAGACACCAAGTGCCTTTGTGACCTTTGACAAGAGACTCACTAGCCTGTGCCTGGCTGTGGAATGGCATAATCTTCTCTCTGGACAGGGGCTGTTAAGAACAAAAGTCAATATGGATTGTGATACTCATGGTAATAAGGCTGTGAATGCCAAGGTAAATGTGGGTGATGAGTGTGTCTGAAGAGATGTATCTTTTTCCTGGAATGCAATGCAAGCACGTGGGTTCCCCTGCTGAAGTATCATTGTCACCTTCCATCCATCGACACAGAATTGAGTCTGGAAATCTCCTGTGGAGACAGGGACACCCCAGTCACAAGCCACTCAGTTGCCAGGAAGAGATCTATGTTGTCAAGTGCACACACACACAAGCAAGTGTATTTTTTTAACTTCAGTTGGCTCAGTTAAGATGACGTCTCCTCATCTACACCTCCTTTTCCTTTGCCCTCTGCTTTTCTGGATAGGAAATAAACGTTTTGGGGACTGAACATTCCCAACTTGTGCACAAACAGCCCCTCAGGAGCCTTGATGCAGGATTCTTGGAGCTGTGTTGGTTCAACTTGCCTGGGAAGGCAGAGGTTTTGGTCCAGGAGCACCTGTTTGAGGAAGCTTGCAGTAGTGGTGGGGGCCACCGGCAGATGAGGTCAGCAGTCTGAAGTGTCTGCAGAGGTCAGGGAGAAATGAATGGGTCATTTCTTTTGCAAATGAAGAGCCGCAGCCTGGAGCAGCCTTAGCAGAGCCCAGCATGTGGGTCCAGGCTGTTCCTTTTATGAGCTGATGGAAATGGGGCCCAAAAGGACTTCCCTGATGGAGTTCTGTCGCAGCCTTTGTTATCTTTGCCTCCCACAGCATGCACTGGGCACAGAATATGGATTGGGGGTTATCCCGGCTACCCGCACAGTCAAGAGGATGAAGGCTTTATGGCTGCATAGAAAACCTAAGGCTGCAGGGTATCCTTATTGCCATTTCACAAGGAAAATCTTGCTTTAAGATGTAGAACACATGTTTCTTTCTGCTTTAGTGCTCCCTTTTACCCAATCTATGCTAAAATGAGTAAATCCAAGGGCTGCTTTAAAATAATGCACATAACTGAGTAACAGGGATTAAAAAGCCTGGATTCTAACCTTCATTCTGGTGGTAAATTGTCAGTTATTTTGACAAAGCCTTGTGAATGCTTTATGCCTCGCTTTTTTTTTTTTTTTTAAACACTGAAGAATAGTAGTGTATTGCTTTTTCTAAAGCATTTTGAGGATTTGGGGTACGATGTGTTTTATTTATGTCAAGTGTTGCTATTAGTAGCACCATCTGTCAACGGAATAACTTTTTGTCTACTTTTTATGCAACAATGTTACTTTCTCCCAATTGTTATTTTAGAATTAATTTTATGTTATATAAACAATGTCAGTTCTGTTTTGCCATTTGCTCTTTTGCTTCCTTGCAGACCACCAGGGAACTTCTTTTGGTGTGACATTGTAATGGGAGGTGGAGACACCTCGAGGAGAAGGTGGAAACAGACAACAGCAATTACAGTCAGTAACATCTATGACTTGAGAAAGTCCTGCCTCTATTACAGGTTTGTGTGTGATCTGTGCATGCCATCTTTCTGATGTACAGGTATTTAAAATACGGCAAGACATGGAAATTACTGTTTCCCTTGTAGGAGCTCTAGGAACAGCTTCCTATTATTACTGTATTTTCACAGCTTCAGGTAGAGCAGGGCAGGGTGGGGGTTTTAAGGGGAAGGCAGCAAAGGTTGGAGTAACTGCTCGTCAGAGTTTTTCCTCACTGCTGTGATGTTAGAGCTGTGACAAGCAGCTAGAAGTTAGAACAGTCCTGGGACTGCCAGAACTTTCACTGAAGAGGAAAATGAAGTTTGGTTTAGATTTTATTTTTCAACCTCTGCTATGTGTGAAGGATTGGTTTTTATGGCTTTTATCTCAATTTTCCTGTAGAAACCTCAGGAGGACTGTCCACCTTTCAAATCTGTTTTGATGCGTTTTAAATGCGTGATAGGGAGCACAGCCACTCTCAGTAGGTTGCAGAAAGAGGATATAAACTCATAATATATCTTCAGAGGAGTGTGTTCTTTATTTCCTAGAAGCACCAGCCAGGTTTGCACCACTTTGTAAGAAGGGCTGCAAGAGAAGATGAATGTTTCTGAGGGCTCGGGGACAGTTTCATGTTTGGGGTAAGGCTGAGGTTAGCCATGGAGCCAGTGTCCAGGCAGTAATTTGACAGCAGACATGGGCACACAGTAATGCAGTCTCTGAAAATCACGGAAGCCTGCTGAGTTATTGTGAGCTGGAGGAGCTTTTCTGTTTGTGGGCACATGGGTCTGCCTGCCTCGCATTGTGAAGACATAACTGAGACATAAAGGAGGCTGGCAAATTGCAGAACAGTGATGGAAGGGGGTACAGGGGGCAGAAGAAGAAAAGTTAAGAGTTTGTAGACAAAGGGCTCAAGCCTAGTTGTGAATTCCTAGCAGGTAGCTGGTCTTTAAATGAAAGCATTTGTCGAGTGACATACTGATTTAATGTGGGAATTGAATAGATATCAGCAAAGGTTTTTGCACCCTGTTTGCAATGTGATTACAGATGTTAACAGAGAAAGTGGTTTTACTTTCTGCCAAGGTGTGTATTTGTTCATATATTTAAACTATATAGGGCAGGCAGTATAGTTGACATCATAGAAAGTGGATGACACTATGGGGTAGGGGCATATAATGTCCCCACAGGTTATGACTGATTGCAAATAAGACACATAACCTGCTTTCCTTCTGTTAGTACCCCAGCGTACTGTGAGCATTGTTGGATTATCCAGGGCCTTGCATCAGCAGCACTTTGCTGTTCCTGGCTGATGTTATATATCCCATATTCCACCTGGTCAATGCACTCTATGCAGCATTCCCACTAGGAGTAGCAGCTTTCTTGAATCCTGTGTTATCTCCTTTCACTGCACCGGGACCTCTGTGTCATGGTGTAGTTGCTTGGTTGTACTCAGCAGTGGCTGTGATGGGACTGCACGTCCACGCCGTGCCCATCGCTGAACAGATGGAACAGATACATTCCACAGAGCCCAGCCAGCAGCTCCTCTCTGGTCAGTGTGTGTCCCCTTTTTTGTGACTGTCAGGACTCAGCTCAGGAGTAAAACAGGCGCTGCATGGCAGGCTGGCAGGCAGTCACCCCCAACACTTCCCCCAGTGTCTGACCACAGCTCTAGCTGATGCACAGGGTTGTAGTATTTTGAGATTGGTCTCTCATTTAATTTTTTTTTCTTAACTTTTAAAAGCCTCTTCTTGAGCCTTGAACCATTCCCATGCTGGAGCCTGGTGAATTAGTTGCCAAGGACTTACAAGTTGCTGATAGATGCGTGCAGAAACTAGCGACGTGGTTGGCTATTCCTGTAAATCATTGGACTCTTCATAAATTTCATTCTGGGCTTTTCCTTAAAAGCCCTCTCCCAAACTGGACACAAAACAATGGACACCAGCAGGCACAGCTCCCAGTGACTAGGATATTGTCACATATCCAAAAGCCTGGTGGGAGGAGCAGACATGAGGTCTGAATTCATCCTGGCAGGGAGATTCGGCTGAGAGAGGAGGAAAAGAAGGTCAGAGGCAGCTCCAAGGAAACGGCTTTGGTTTAAAATGTTTCATTAGAGTTTTCACGCTGGAAATATAAAGTACGGGAATACAATTGCTTGGCAGAGGAACAGTCCTGTGTACATTCAGTACTCTATACAGAAGGAGACAAAATATATCCCTGGCCATCTCAGCAAAATTAGGGATCCCTGTTGTAAATGTGACTTTTCCAAAATAGCTCACATAATCTGGCGGTGTCTTTTTTTTTTATCAATATTGATAAAAGATGTTCTTTTTCTAGTAGACCGTTGCTCTCTGCTGTAGCCATTCAGCCCTTCCAAAATAGCTCACATAATCTGGCAGTGTCTTTTTTTTTTTTTTTATCAATATTGATAAAAGATGTTCTTTTTCTAGTAGACCATTGCTCTCTGCTGTAGCCATGCAGCCTTTGCAGGGCAGATTTATCTAAGCAGTGTATCAGTGTCAGTCCAGCTGGGGACATTATTGGGATGCTCACCTTGCATTGTTTCCCTTCTTCTCTGTGTCTGTCTTTGATTTTTCCTGTTGTAACTCAATAAGATAATCGCGGTCACCCTATTCCTAAGGGTTAGTCTTCCCCCTGTTGATTTGACAAGCCCCTTTTTTAAAAGTAGTTCTCATCTGCCACTTGAGCTTTGTCGCCTCAGGATGTTTTACCTCCTCATGCAGGCAGGGTTGGGAGTTTGGACTGGCACACAGACCTGCAAGATCTAGTCAATGTGGGGTTAAGGCAAATGTCACCAGTGAGGAGGTAGGAAATGGGATACCAGTATGGCTTGTCTGCTTTCTTCTTTTGGGACATAGCTTGACCAAAGAACTGGGCAGTCGAAACATCACAGAGGCGCATGTGATATGGATGGATTTTTTTATGGAAAGCCAGGATTGATTTACGTTTGGGTGGTTTTTTCTGTGTTAAGTTATAGGTGAAAAACTTGGAGGCACTTTGTCGTTACATCCCAGTGGCAGTTTTAAATTTACTCTGGCTTAGAAAGAAGTGCTTCCCAACAGGCTGGCAAAACAAAAGCACACATACAGTGCCCTTTCAAAGGTCATTCCTGACCAGACCCTGAAACAGCTGAGCTGCAGGTTGTCAATCTTTCACACTGCCAACCCTTGTGGCACGCTTGTACCCAGATTCTTTTGTCAGCATTTCAAGCCATTTTTATGTTCTTCACTGACTGTGCTGGGCAGCGTGTTGTCAGGGCCCTGGGTGCACCAGCTGACTCTGCAACCTCTTTCCCCTGTCCTACAGGTTTGGCTGCCTGTGTTCAAGGTCTGCCCTGATATGGTGGAGTGTAACCTGGCATCAGAGTGCTGTGAAGAGAGCCAAAGAGCTGAAAGAAGCCTGCTGAGGCCTCCCCGCTTCCCATGGGAGCAACGGCACAGAGCTGCCCTTGTCCTCAGCCCTCGTCTGGGGTAGGCTGTAGGGGTGTTTGTGTCTGGCTGTGCACTTGTTGATCCCGACCCCGACTTGCTGACTTGACTTTCTGCTTCGGCCTCAGACCTGGCTCATCCCTATGGGCTTGTCCGACAGTCACTGGGCTTCTGGCAAATGTGGTTACTGTCACCGGGCCTGCTCTGCTCTTCTTGCTTGGTCACTGTGGCACTGTGCCCCTTTACACTGAGGTCCTGTCCCTGCCTGCCTTGCTGTCAGCCCAGCTCGGCCTCCCCGCTTCCCATGGGAGCAACGGCACAGAGCTGCCCTTGTCCTCAGCCCTTGTCCTCAGCCCTCGTCTGGGGTAGGCTGTAGGGGTGTTTGTGTCTGGCTGTGCACTTGTTGATCCCGACCCCGACTTGCTGACTTGACTTTCTGCTTCGGCCTCAGACCTGGCTCATCCCTATGGGCTTGTCCGACAGTCACTGGGCTTCTGGCAAATGTGGTTACTGTCACCGGGCCTGCTCTGCTCTTCTTGCTTGGTCACTGTGGCACTGTGCCCCTTTACACTGAGGTCCTGTCCCTGCCTGCCTTGCTGTCAGCCCAGCTCGCCTTTGCTCCTCATGCTCCCCAAGCCTTTTACAAGTAGCATCTCCATCTGAGAAGTCAGAGAGTAAATGGGCACCGACACGAGAGACATTGTGGGATCGTGCTGGTTTATTGCTGCGACAAATAAGAAAGCAGTGCCATTAGCTTTGCCTCCCTTCATTTCCAACTTTCTGAAAAGATAAAGTGAAAAGCGGGTGTATTGGCAAGAGCTTGAACTGCCAAGAAAACAGCCGGCAGGAGGAGCCCTCTAGACATTTCGCTGGATTGTTTTCGGACAGTCATAGCTGCATGTTTCAAGGGCATCACTTTAGATCTACTTTCTTGGGACTTCCTTGCAGACAAACCCGCAGGAGCAGAAGACAGAGGTAACTACGTGGTATTGCAGCTGAGGAGCTCCAGTGATTTTTGTTTTTTGGAGACTTCTCAGGTTCCTTCTCCCACCCTGATGTCTTTCTCTGTCATTGCTTCAGAAACTTAAGGTGTTCCTGAATGTGTTTGGGTTTTTTTGGTCTCTGGAAGGGGCCAAGTGTTGTATTTTCCAAGAAAGTTAGTGTAAGATTTAATGGACAGCATCCTAACCACAGAGTAAAGAATTCCAAAGCAGTGCTTATCTTTGCATGGAAAGATATTCTCCTGGATTCCTCATGAATGGGTTTTTTTGGTCTCTGGAAGGGGCCAAGTGTTGTATTTTCCAAGAAAGTTAGTGTAAGATTTAATGGACAGCATCCTAACCACAGAGTAAAGAATTCCAAAGCAGTGCTTATCTTTGCATGGAAAGATATTCTCCTGGATTCCTCATGAACTCCGAGGCTACCTGTAAGCAAAGCAGCTCTGAAACGTATCAGAACCCCTCTGAATATTGGCCTGACAAAGTTATTCAAATAGTTCTGCCTTATTGTGTATGGGTCATCTTTTTCTTCTGTAAGAAGTAGGTCTGGAGGACAGTAGCTGCTCTTTGGCACAGCACTGTGTTTCTGTTAGTTAGGTGCAAAGTATCACAATGCTTCTTAAGGCCAATCCTGCAGCCCTGAATTGCCTGGGCCCTATGGCTGTGCCTCTGCACTGTCTTTAAAAAAGAATTAAGTTTTTTTTATTATTTACTGGTAAAGTCTCTACTTTTGTGAGTCTGGCCCTCATTTATCTGAATGGGAAGTAGGTACCTTCTGGTCTTGAATGTTGCTGTAATAATTATTTTGATTCTGAATGTGCCAGAAACTATTCTAATGCATATCAGTGTAAATTAAGTCAATAGAGATTCTTCAAATTTATCCTGGTGTTCAAGAGAATGGAATTCATGCACTTCAATTTACAGCTTATTAAGTGATCAGAATTAATGAACTCGCAACAATCTTTTCTGTTCTTGTTTACATGGTTTCTTCCTATTCACTCATAATGTACATGATTTTAAAAAAACGGAGAGTTGAAAAGGCAGTGTGGGGTCAGATATGTCCCATGGAGCACAGCATTGTGCTTCAGGCTTTAATCATATTTCTAAAGCCACTTTGTAGAAATGGCACCTTCTGACTCAGTTGATGCACAGAAACCCAGCTCCATTCCCAGAACCCTCTCTCCATTCTGAAAGCTGCGAAAATATTTGTACTGAGGAACAGAGAAGGTGTTCTTCAGAATCACTGGAGGATAACAGATACAAAACAATTCTTCCTTTTTTTTGAGAGTCATTTTTCAGTGTAGTATCATGTTCCTGTCTGGAGGTTGGGAATAATGCAAACAATCGCATCCACCTTTCCTTTTATTTTGAGATTTGGAGTCACTTGGGATGGCGCTAAGAAAACCTCATATAAACCCTCTTTTTCCCAAGACCTCAAGGTACTAACTAAAAATTATCCCACTGTGTTTCCTTCAATTCAAGGTTGGAACGACAAAAGGACCCCTTGGATTTTCATAATGTTGAAGGCTAAGCTTGTCAGGCTGCATGCTCATCTGGACATCATTTCTCTCGGACTTCATTGAATAGGACATCTTCTAAATGCTCCATCTGATCAATTGCAAACATTTCTGAGACTTCCTATTATTACTGGGGGAGAGGGAACACCACTAATTTGTGAAAATGAGGACATAAAAATGGGAAAAATACGGGAGCAGCACTAATTTAGATACCATTGCATTTGCAGGTGGAGCAACTGGGCGATAGCACTCGCATACCAATATCTTTATCTCATCTCTGTCTATCACTCTGGAAAAGTTATCATGTGAGCACACTGAAAGATCTGTCACCAGATAAATAATAATACAGGGCTTGTATGCAACCTCTGCAGAACTGGAGGAGAATGAAGGTCCAAAGTGAGAGAGGCATTGGAGGGGGAGCTGAGAGGTTTGTAAAGGTGGCATATGAGGCATTTGTGTAGAGGAGTAGTGTGGTTTATGGTGTGGATCCCTGTATGAGAGTGCAAAATCTTCAAAGGAACAGCTACAGATTGTGAACTGCCCTCAAGAAATGAGAAATAGAGGGCAGGCCAGCTATCTCACACTGAGCAGCTATGCTGAGAGAGCTGCTGAGAGTGAGGGGGGCAAAGTAGCAAATGGGAAAGTTCTTTTCAAACCTTGTGGGCTGGTTCTGGCTGATGTACGACTTGCTGAAAACCAGAGAAACTGGTTGGTAACTTGGGCAGGCTGGAGTGGAGCCCTGGGCTGGACAGAGCTCCCAGCAGAGCCAGACAAGCAGCTGACTGTGAACTTGGTCTCTGCAGAGCAGCTGAAACTGCCTGCCTGCTTCTCACGATGCTGGTGCCTAAGTGGGGCATCTCGGGGGCTTTTGGGCTGTCCCTGAGTGTGAAAGTACTGTGCAGAGGCAGGTAGTCTCTGGAAGTTGATGTGTGACAAATTTCTAGTTATTTTTACCTCTTTTTGCTTATGTACTTGCACGGCAGTGTTAAAAGATAGAGAGATTCTCAGAGGAAAGATTAGTGAAATGATACTGGACTCTGAAGATTTGTAAAAATGAGGGGGCAAGAACCTATGATTATATTTGAGGCAGGTAGAGCACGCTGGATTCACAGGACTCAGCTTTAAGTACAACTAACTCAAAATTCTGAGTGAAAAACATGTCTTAATACAAGTTTCAAGTACTGCTCTGTTTTCTGAATTTGTTAGCTTTTTTTCTTCCTCTCTTCTTAGTGCTGAGTGGTCAAGCCCACAAGGCAATAACTTAACAACACTGCTAGTATTTCCAAGTTCTGTTTCTTTAAGAAGTTCATAAAACTTGTCACAATACCCCAGTAAAGCTCTTTCTGCAGCACTATCTAATCCAAAGTAGTTTGTATCAGATTTATGTTCTGGCAGCTCTGTGATAAACTTGGACTCTACCACATTACAAACACAAAAGATTACTTAAAGTTGTTGTTATTGAATTTGAAGGACTCTTTTGTTTCATGGAGTCCTGCACCCCCCCGTACCAGGGTTGTGGTCTCCATTGGCTCTGCACCTCATACACTTACAAACTTAGGCAGCCTGGAATGAAGACATTTCCACCAGTGAAAATTTATATTTTGGTAGATTTAACCTGTTCTTTGTGTTAAAATCGCACATATAAAAACAAAACAAAACCAATCGTAAAATAAAGTAGAAGTTTATAAAGCATTGGAGAATTCAGTGAGGTCTGGTATTTTGACCAAAGGGTCCTTCAGATGTAAATGTTAGGTTTCTCCTCTCTCACGTAAGTCCCCTTAAACCTGATGTCTCACTTTATAAGGCTCTTCTGAAACCCTGGATCAACTCGTGAAGTTCATAGAAAAAGACAATTATGCAGAAAATTATCAGACTCTTGATTCTCCTGGTGTGAGCCCTTGCAAACTTCAGCCTGAAAACATAAAAGACTGAAACTATGATGTCAGTCACATTCTCAACACAGATTACAGGTGTAACCAGAGGAGGAATTCATCACAAAATCTCTCTGATCTGAAATCAAGCAGAACTCGGGAAACAGCTGCCAAATACCCAAGGCCAGAGACCTCTCATCTTGGGGCCAGTTCTCGTGTTAGTCGGAGCTCTAAAGCTTATTATATCCCCAATTTATGGAAAGAGTAAAGATTACTGACATCCATTGTAGAAGTTGGAATGTTTTATTTGATTTTTTGTTAAAATTAATTTACACTTGGCTGAAGTAGTTTTTTTGACTTTTTTTACTCCAGGAGAAAGAGACATTTGCTATCTCCACACTTCCAAGTGAGAAGTTCACCTTATAACATTAGGTGTACTCTTGGGGTTGCAACTAACAGTGACTATCATCATTAGTAGTACAATAGTCTGTACTGTCTAACTGCCCCTGGAGCAAAAGATCAGTTTAATCATTACTGAATTCATCTTTAAATTACTTGTCTTGAAAAGGTTATATGTTATTTGTGTGGGACCATTCAACCTGGTCTCTATGTTGTTTCTGTACTCATGACCATCATCATCTATTTTATGTGTGCATTGTCTAGTTCTGCTGACATTTGTAAACCATTCACTGAATTTTTGATGTTTTCTTCTAATGTTATATCCCAAACATGTGAGACTCTAGCTAAGTGGGATTCTGGTGGAGGGTCACTCTGCATTGCTCCAAGGTCTGTCAGACGTCCAGGCGTGCAAAGGCAGCAGCTGAACAGGGACAGGCAGAGGACACAGTGAACTTCTTGTCTGGCTTCTTGTTTCCA